TGTTAGTGACAACAATGAATGGATTATATTTGAATTATGTTTTATAAATGTATTGATGAAGTGTCATATTCATATTTTAAACAATTAATGAATGTATGAAATATATTGTATGCATGCATTATGCATAATCTCTTCCATAAATTATGAGCGGACAAGATTATGCGTCATTTTCTAAATTTGAATCATTTTTAATGAATTGCAAAAGTTTTTGATAGCAGTTAATCCGAATAAATCAACCGCTCTAATAAGTATGCAATCATTGCTATTTATTGCATCCAGTAGACATTAATTTTTCCGAAGAACTATATTTTCAATCATAAAGCATTTATTTATTTTTGTATAAGCCAAATTTCACAATTTCTATTATTTAATTATTTTAGATAGAAATTTAGCAGAGTGTATTTTTCTTTCATATTAAAAAATTTGAAAAAAAAAAGAATTGGCTCATTTTGTATCATTTATTAAACATAAAAATACTAAAAGATGCAAAAGAAAAAAATTTCTTCCGTATCGTTTAGTTCTTTTATGTTACATAAAGTGACCTTTTTATTCTTCAAAAAGGTCACTTTATATAACCCCACGTGTAATGTAAATGTTTGCTCTCTCTCTCTCTCTCTTTTTCTCTCTGTTATTATTTCCTCGTTTCCTTTTTTTTTTTTTTTAATTTTCTGAAATCTTCCTAGAAATTTATTAACAAAAAAATGAATACAATCGATCATTTCTAAATCATCGCTCTCAAAACTTTACACAATTTTTTTTTTTTTTTGCTTTTTCCGGAGTTTATTCATTAATTAGCTTTTTGTAACAAATCATAATTTATATGCTCTCTTAAATTAACAACTTTTATCTCAATTAAGAAATTACAAAATGAAATTTACTGTATCATTGCTATTTTCAGATGCATTGATTGCTTACCTGCATTTGTAAACTTTCTTAATGAATATATTGGTAATTTTTCTATAGGACACACCATCTTTACCGATTGTAATCGTTTATTTTTCTCCTCCTCTTCAATTCGCACAGGCTTTTTTCACTGTATCCAACGCCATTCAAAAATCTGGTTTTGCAAATTTTCTAATCAAGTATGCGAAAATTACCGCAGTAGGAATTGTAGCTCTTCAAGCAGGCAACCTGCCCATCTTTATATTAGAACTGGAATTTGGGCCATCATCATTTGCCATGCCATTTTTGATTGCGCTACATTTGTTTCATTGTTTTTTTTTTCTCTTTATTTTAATTTTTAATGAGAATTCATTTATAGCTTTTATATTTATATCACACAGTAATGTTAAAGCATTTTGCTATTATCAAACAAGTTTTCCTTTTTCTTCTTTTATAAACTTTAAAATTTAAATAATATTTAAAGATAGCAATTATTGATTAAATATGTTTGCCTGTATAATGTCATTGCTGTAACACTAAGGATATTGCATTGCAATTTTTTTTTTCTTTTTTAAAAAAATTTATGTAAATGTTTAAAATTAAAATATCAATTGCTATAAAAAAATCTTTTGCATCCTTTCATTTGATCTAAATTTGCTATTTTTGTGATATTTTTGAAAAATTTTTAAAAACTAAGAAAATTATTTCATAGCTATTCTATTTTCATTCATTATTTCTTAATGAATTAGCATCATTCCTTTCTTTCTTTTCTCAATAATCAACAATTTCCTTTTTCATATACATCCATTTTTTTATCCACTGTTATTTTTCTTTTTTTTTTTTGAATTACAATTAACGGATTTATTAAATTAATTATATGTTAGACAATTCTTGATAAATTTTAATAAATAGAAGATAAAAATTCTTTCATTAAATTATATAAAACAAATTAAAATTCTGAGAACAATTGTTGGTATTTATGATATTTACGAAGAATTGAGGTTTGAAATGAGTACACACACACACACACACACACACACAGAAATAAACAGACAGACAGTTGGATAAAACAATATGCATATTTAGGGAGATGGAAGTTATAGTTGCTCATAGTATGCGTATATGTGTGTGTGTGTGTGTGTGTGTGTGTGTGTGTGTGTGTGTGTGTGTGTGTGTGTGGGTGTGGGTGTGTGGGTGTCTGTCTGTCTGTCCGTTTATCAATAGAAATTAACTAATTCATTTGATGGAAAAATGTGTTTATAATATTATGTCATTATCATCACCATACGTATGATACCACTGACATCGATAATTAAATTTAGTGCTTGTTGAGAGAGTCTCCTACAATCACTCCATGAGTGATATGATATGATGATATGAATGAGATGAGATGAGATGAGATGAAATGAGACGAGATGAGATGGTATATAGAAATAGTTATCACATTTGAACCTCTTTCTTTTTCTCTCTCTCCCTCCCTCTTTCTCTGTCTCTCTGTCCCTCTCCCTCTCTCTCTCTCTCTCTCTCTTATTGAAACTCATTATGAATAATACTTTTTGTCTCAAAAAAAAAAAGTGTGTAATGCTTGTGTTGTCATCATTGCCACTTCACCACTATTATTATCGTCATTGTTATTGTTGTTGTTTGATGCGTAACACATTGATACTTTCCTTCACTATTTATTTTTAAGTAAATATTAATTTGAATAGAGAGATAAGGTAAAACGATGATGGTAACAGGAAGACAAAGAGCATGCATGTTTGCAATGTGCTCTGAAAATCTCTACAACTTCGCTTTTTTTTTTTTTTAAATAGCAAATTCATTTTTATCGTTTGTAAAAATTTATGTAACATATTTGAATTATATTGCTAAATTTATTGATTGATTTCGAAACTTTTTTTTTTTCCTTTGATATTATTCCAAATTATTCGTATATAGCAACAGTAAGGCGAGAATGTAAACAAAATTTCATACTTTAATAAGCCGAAGAATATTATTTTAGTCGAGCATTGTTTGCAAATTACAGTGACGTGTGAAGTAATACTTTCATTATAACTCTTTAATTCATATATATATGTTTCCAAAATCTCTCTTTCTTCCTCTCTCTCTCCCTCTTCTCTGCTCATTTACTCATATTAAATAGATGATGAAATTTGAATAATTTATGCAAATAATTCATATTTCAAATAGCATTTTATACCTTTCATTTTACAATATCAAATATTACAAAAAATATTATTATAGAAATTTATTATCATTTACATATTACTTTGAAATATTTTTAGGGGGAAATAATTGAAATTGTTGAAATGTGAAATAATCAAATGCTATATGTGCGCTCTCATTATCACCCAGACATACGCCTCATTGACCTATTCAGAAATATTAATCAAGTTTTTATAGATTCTGTGACATCGTAATAAATGCGCCTGTCCCAGTGACCACACATATCTACAATTTGTTGCCAGTCTATCTCTTTCGGTGTGTGTGCGTGTGTGTGTGTGTGTGTGTGTGTGTGTGTGTGTGTGTGTGTGTGTGTGTGTGTGTGTGTTATTTAGTTTGTCCACTTTTTTTTTTTTTTATATCTCTCTATTTATTGATAGAATGGTCAGATGTCCTGTTTCTTTGCTTAATTGATATGGTACTCTCTATGTATTCGTTATCAAATCAGTTCATCATTTCCATATATTTATTGTATTATCATCCCAAAAATTTCTAATTGCGGGTATGACAGTTTGATCAAAAGTAATTAAGGTCAAAAATTCAATTGAGACGATAACAAGGAGTTGTAGCGATTACGGAGAGGGAGAAAGAAGAGTGGCGGGGAGTGGAGGGGGTTTTGAAGAGAGGGATTCGAATTTCGACTTCTTCATTTTCTCGTTATGATCGCAAGAATCATACAAATGCAATAACGACGCAATTCACAAAATCTATCACAAATCACTAACTTCTATGCATAAAATGTATATGCATTTTACATTTCGTCTCATTTCAAGTTTACACTGAAATCGCAAAAGGCGTACACACACACACACACACACACACACACACACACACA